TGGTCTAGGAATGCATCTGAAACTGATGGGCCTACCCTTTATTAGCTGAATTAGTATATACCATGACTGGTTTTATAGCTTAACATAGCATTTTGTGTTTATAATATATTCAGATATAACACATCTTAAATAAATATTACTTTTTTTCTAAAAAAAGAAACATGTTTTATTTAGAATTTACGTTTCACCAAGAATGCAGATCTGCTTTGATTTGCCTAAGCATAATTGCTCAATACAACTTTATTAACATCCTCACAGTGGTTAGTATTAAATAGTGAGGTTTCTATAATTTATTTTATTTCATTGTAATATATTAAGACAAACAGGGTCCTTGTAATTAATGTATAATTTCAAGTGTAGTTAGAGCCTGGGTAAATATTGTATTAGTTTTGGGATTGATTATATTGTGTTGGCTGTGAAGATGAACATATACTCTACCAATAATATCATTTGTGAAATATTTGATTTATGGAATTTCTGTGTTTGGGATCAAATAACAAATAAGTGGTCTTTAATCTCAAAAGAGGGCTACAAGACCCTCTTGGTGGAAAAGTAGGGTTTCCCCCTTGTATCCATCAATTAAAGGAGGTGGTATTCTGAATTTTTTTTTTTGTTGAAAGGTTAGATGTATGGATTATGTGAAAATATGAGTTCTCTAAGGATTTCGCCCCTTTATGGATTACTGCCTTGTCGTGGCGAAGGGGCTTGCGTAACTCAATGAAGCTATAAGCTATGCCGTGCAGGGCCACCCAAGACGGACAGGTTATAGCAGAGAGTTCTGACGAAATGTGATCCACTGGAGAAGGAAATGGCAAACCACTCCAGTATCTTTGCCATGAAAACCCCATGGACAGTACTAAAAGGAAAAAAGATATGACGCTGGAAGATGAGCCCCTCAGGTCGGAAGGTGTCCAATATGCTACTGGGGAAGAGCAGAGGGCTAGTACTAGTAGCGCCAGAAAGAATGAAGCGACTGGGCCAAAGCCGAAAGGACGCTCAGCTGTGGATATATCTGGTGGTGAAAGGAAAGTCCGATGCTGTAAAGATTTTTTCTCCATAGGAACCTGGAATGTAAGATCCATGAATCAAGGCAAGCTAGACGTAGTCAAAAAAGAGATGACAAGACTGAACATCGACATCTTAGGAATCAGCGAACTAAAATGGACAGGAATGGGTGAATTTAACTCAGATGACCATCAGGTATACTACTGTGGGCAAGAATCCCTCAGAAGAAATGGAGTAGCCTTCATAGTCAATAAAAGAATAGGAAAAGCAATACTGGGATACAATCCTCAAAATGACAGAATGATCTCTATTCGAATCCAAGGCAAACCATTCAATATCACAGTAGTCCAAATCTATGCCCCAACCACTGGTGCTGAAGAGGATGAAATTGACCGGTTCTATGAAGCCCTACAGCACCTTATAGAATTAACACCAAAAAATGATGTCCTTATCATCATGGGGGATTGGAATGCTAAGGTAGGAAGCCAAAAGATAACCGGAATAACAGGCAAGTTTGGCCTTGGAGTACAAAATGAAGCAGGGCACAGGCTAATAGAATTTTGTCAAGAGAATACGATGGTCATAACAAACACTCTTTTCCAACAACCCAAGAGACGGCTCTACACATGGACATCACCAGACGGTCAACATAGAAATCAGATTGACTATGTGCTCTGCAGCCAAAGATGGAGAAGCTCTATACAGTCAGTAAAAACAAGACCAGGAGCTGACTGTGGCTCAGATCATGAGCTTCTCGTTGCAAAATTTAGGCTTAAATTGAAAAAAGTAGGGAAAAGCACTAGGCCACTCAGGTATGAACTAAATCATATTCCTGATGAATATACAGTAGAGGTGACAAATAGATTTAAGGAATTAGATCTGATAGACAGAGTGCCTGAAGAACTATGGATGGAAGTTCGCAACATTGTACAAGAGGTAGCAACTAAAACCATCCCAAAGAAAAAGAAATGCAAGAAAGCAAAATGGCTGTCTGAGGAAGCTTTGCAAATAGCTGAGGAAAGAAGGGAAGCAAAAGGCAAAGGAGAAAGAGAAAGATACACCCAATTGAATGCAGAATTCCAGAGAGTAGCTAGAAGAGATAAGAATGCCTTCTTAAATGAACAGTGCAAAGAAATAGAAGAAAACAACAGAATAGGGAGGACCAGAGATCTCTTCAAGAAAATTGGAGATATGAAGGGAACGTTTCATGCAAAGATGGGCATGATAAAGGACCAAAATGGCAGAGACCTAACAGAGGCAGAAGAGATTAAGAAGAGATGGCAAAACTACACAGAAGAACTATACAAGAATGAGCTTAACATCCCAGATAACCACAATGAGATGGTCACTGACCTCGAACCAGACATCCTAGAATGTGAAGTGAAATGGGCCTTAGAAAATCTGAGCAACAACAAAGCTAGTGGAGGTGACAGTATTCCAGCTGAGCTATTCAAAATCTTAAAAGACGATGCAGTAAAAGTGCTACACTCAATTTGCCAGCAAATTTGGAAAACTCAACAGTGGCCACAGGATTGGAAAAGGTCAGTTTACATTCCAATTCCAAAGAAAGGCAATGCCAAAGAATGTTCAAACTATCGCACCATTGCACTCATTTCACATGCTAGTAAAGTTATGCTTAAAATCCTACAAGCTAGACTCCAGCAGTATGTGGATCGAGAACTACCAGAAGTACAGGCAGGATTTCGAAGAGGCAGAGGAACTAGAGATCAAATTGCCAACATACGCTGGATCATGGAGAAAGCTAGGGAGTTCCAGAAAAACATCTACTTCTGCTTCATTGACTATGCAAAAGCCTTTGATTGTGTGGATCACAACAAATTGTGGCAAGTCCTTAAAGAGATGGGAGTACCAGACCATCTCATTTGTCTCTTGAGAAACCTATATGTGGATCAAGAAGCAACAGTGAGAACCGAACACGGAACCACTGATTGGTTCAAAATTGGAAAAGGAGTCCGGCAAGGCTGTATACTGTCGCCCTGCCTATTTAACTTATATGCAGAGCACATCATGAGAAAGGCAGGGCTAGATGAATCAAAAGTTGGAATTAAGATTGCCGGGAGAAATATCAACAACCTAAGATATGCAGATGATACCACTCTAATGGCAGAAAGTGAAGAGGAACTAAAGAGCCTCTTGATGCGGGTGAAGAAGGAGAGTGCAAAAGTTGGCTTGAAACTCAACATTAAGAAAACCAAAATCATGGCATCCGGCCCTCTCAATTCCTGGCAAATAGATGGGGAAGAAATGGAGGTAGTGACAGATTTTATTTTTCTGGGCTCCAAGATCACCTCAGATGGGGACTGCAGCCAAGAAATTAAAAGACGCTTGCTCCTGGGGAGGAAAGCTATGGCAAATCTAGACAGCATTCTAAAAAGCAGAGACATCACCCTGCCAACAAAAGTGCGTATAGTCCAGGCCATGGTTTTCCCAGTTGCAATGTATGGCTGTGAAAGTTGGACCATAAGAAAGGCTGAGCGCAAAAGAATTGAGGCCTTTGAACTATGGTGCTGGAGAAGACTCCTGCGAGTCCCTTGGACTGCAAGGCGTTCAAACCGGTCAGTCCTAGAAGAGATCAACCCCGACTGCTCTTTAGAAGGCCAGATCCTGAAGTTGAAACTCAAGTACTTTGGCCACCTAATGAGAAGGAAGGATTCACTGGAGAAGAGCCTAATGCTGGGAAAGATTGAGGGCAATAGAAGAAGGGGACGACAGAGAATGAGATGGCTGGATGGAGTCACTGAAGCAGTAGGTGTGAATTTAAATGGACTCCAGAAGATGGTAGAGGACAGGAAGACCTGGAGGAACATTGTCCATGGGGTCGCGATGGGTCGGACACGACTTCGCAATTAACAACAACAACAAGGATTCCAGTCCCAAAATAAAAATGGTTTTAAAAGTAATAAAAATAGCCTTTGGAATTAAGCTCTGTTTTCAGTCAGTTGCAATTTTTGAACTGCTTCCAAAGAATCTCTAAATAATATAGTCAAATGTATGTTGGCTTCCATCCTGCTCCGGGTGTTTTTACTTCATCACTTTTGGCAACATACTGGTTATATTTGTATAATGTGACTTGTGGCCCCAGAAAATTGGTTCAACAAGTTCAGTTAATCCTGAATAAGTTTATGTAACTATTAGAAAGTGAGGGAACTTACTGCTCCTCTTTCAGTTTGGAACCTTAATTTGAAAGAGAATAGATCAGATGCCTTATAAAGCATCTGTATCTTAGCAATTTAGCTGATACTTTGTGGAATCTGCTGCTACTATATTTTCCTCAGCACCATGGAGCTATCAATTCTGGCTAAAAGGATTAGTAACATAAATAAGATAAGCCTCTTCATTTCCAAAAATACATACTTCATAATTTTTTTTAGTTTCCTACTGAAGTGTCAGATTTTGTGACCTTTTTTGCCATTGTCAAAACACGGCAAAAAGTGAATCATTGCAGTTGTTAAGTGAATTGCAATATTGTTAAGGGAATCCTGCTTCTCCCACTGACTTTATTTGTCAGAAGCCAGGTGGGAAGGTTGCAAATGACCCCGGGACACTGCAACCATTGTAAATAACATGCTAGTCCCAGTCATAGCTTCAGTTCAGTTGGCCGTTCTTTCTTCCACCCACAGAAGACAATCTAAAAGAAACAAAAGTTTGGAACCGCGCACAATCATATACAGCAGCAAACTGCTGACGGAAGTTATTGGGATTCTCGCACGCGTGTTCCGAATTGCAGTCCCAGGATCCCGGAGAGCTTTGGAAGAGAGGACTGTGCAAATTTGGCCAACGTCGATTCGCTATCGAGCTGCAGCCTCCGCTGAGGACTTCGTGCTAAAGAAGAGCAAGGCAGGAAACGCTGATTCGCTCGCGGAGTTTTGCCGGCAACAATCGGGGGCGTGTGTGATAGGAACGCGCTCTTCATTGGCTCGCTGCGTGACGAGGCGGGGCCGAAAGGGCCGCCCCTCCCCTTGTATAAAACCCGGGAGCGGGGGCGAGGTTCCTGCTGCAGTAATTTTCGATAGCGTTTGGTGGGGACCCTCTCGCGTGGTCGTTCCCACCGGCCGGCCATCGACCCTTGAGCTGCTTCGTGCATTTCCTCCTGAAAGGAAGATAAGGGCTCCTAGAGCCGAGGCCGGTCATGTGAGTAACAACGGGACGGACGCTCTCGTCGTTGCTTGCCTTCCTGTAATGCGCGGCCGGTTTTCCTGCACGGTTGCGGCGCTTGCCGAGTTGCGCATTGCAGCATCGCCCCCCCTTCTCTCTTTCGGTTGTCCGGTGCCGAAGTGAGGTGGAGCAGGGACGGATGCCTCATCCCATCTGATGGCTCTGCAGTTTTCGTTGTTGCAGCGGGTGCTTCGCCATCTCCCATCTTTCTCCCCGTCCCCTAGTTGCGATTCCTGCCCCCGGCCCTTGAATAGTTTCAGACGAGAGCTATCCGGTGGCCGAAGGCTCCAGCGGTGTCTTGAGCGGCAATATAGGTGGCAATGGAGGAGAGGGGCATTTTCACAAAACTCTAAAAGGCACCTTCGAAAATGCCATTTTTAGCTTTGAGTACAAGCCGGGACGAAAAAGTTTACATTTATTATAGCACAGGCGATTGACTCTGTATAAAGAGATAAAAACGCAGCAAGAGTTTTGTATGATCAAGGTGGCAAACTCTACTTGATGTGGGTTTCTGTTGGAGGTGCATGTGTGAACCCGGGTAATAAGATAGCTAGTTTATTTCAGAGGTATTAAAGTTGGCCCTTTAATAATAACTGCTGAAAAAGCAGTTTGATGATGATGGAGGATTCATCACCGAAAAGAGAAGCAAATACTGTTGTATGCGCAAGGCGCTTGCGTTCAAATGACTGCAGATATTTCTTTGCTTGGACAGTATAACAGAAAGTCTTAAGTTTTGTTCTCTTTCTTGGGGACTCCTGCCTTTTCCATAATTGCATTTCTTCAGTCTCCTCATCCTTCATCTATGGGATAATGGCAAGATTGCTTACAGAAACCTTGCCTAAAGCTTCTGATGGCATTTTTTTGCCAGCTTGGCTATTAGTCTGTAACCTTCATGAGTTTGCATCACTACCCCCATTGCTAAGTTGGAAAATGCCTCCTTGTTTCTCTGAACTGATTTATTTGATGGTTTCTTTGACCTATTCCTGTTGCTGCGGTAAAGGCAAAATATCTAGCAATGTTACTTTTTGGTAAATGTTTTTGTCTCGTGACACAGCAGTTCTTTTATGCTTGCAGGCTTCATTTATCTACTCAGGTTCTAAATGTATCTGTTAACATTATTCAAGTAGTACATTCTATGAATTCATTACACTTCATAATCAGTGCCTGATTCAAATAATAGTGTCCTATAGAAGATGAGGGAGTTAAACAATCCTTTTTTCCCTTCATCTTTCTAAAAAAAATGTTACTAGGTAAGGGAAGAGTTGAGTGACTTCCTGAAACATGGCTGTGTCATCTTACTTGCATCCTCTTGGTGAGAAGACACTGCCATAACCTGAATTTAGCAGCTAAAATGAGATGTCACAACCGTGCCATTGAACCTTCACTTGCTATACACTGGATTTCCATTCAATTTGACCTACAATACTTGTTGTGGATTCTGTTTCAATTCTTCCTATCCTCAAGAGCTCAGATGAGTCAGAGCAAAACTCCAGCACATCTCCTAACAGTACTTTTGAATTGTAATACCTAAACTGCTTTGGTAGTGAGATGGGTGGCATATAAATTAAATAAACAGTTGCTCTTGGGAGAAAGAGAGAGAGAGAGACTACATCTGAAATACAGTGGCTTCCTTTGGTTTAATAGGTACTGAATCCATTCTCTTTTACATTCTCTAGTATTTTTCACTACTAGAAAGCCACTGCTTCTAAAGCCTCTGGATTAACAACTAATAAACAGTACAACAATGTAAGATAGTTCTATTATTATACAAGAACATGCTTATTTATGTTAGATCTAAGTCCTCCACTTCCTCTTATGATGCTTTTACTTTAAAGATGAACAGTTCAAGAATCTGAGTGGCCCAGTTCTTCGGAAAATTCAAATATATTTCTGTCATTTCCATGTTATAGTGCTTGGGTTTCATACGTGTTGATAATAAGTCTGCAGCTAAATTACGGTTGTATATATTAATGTGCTGATTTCTGGCTGCGTATTGGACATAGACATCTGCATCATCTCTCATACTTGACCTGCCTCCACAGGTCTGATCCAGCACAGCAAGCTGCTCCAGGGACAGGACAGGAAGGAGGTGAAAATGCTGGGGGGGGGCCTGGTGCACCTCCAAATTTGACCAGTAATTGGCGCCTGCAGCAGACTCAAGCACAGGTGGAAGAAGTAAGTGACTAAAATGGTTCTTTGTAGTCCTCCGCTGTCGCTGAGAGACTGCCAAGCCAGGGGGAGGAGTCAAGTGGGGAATTAGTCTGGAATCTATGTGTAGACACAAGACAGCTAGGTCTGACTTCTCTTGAATGCCATTGAACCTTAGCTAGTTTGGACCAGGTGTAAACTGACACTCTGAGAAGATTCTTGTGTTATAGACATGAGTAATAAAATAGCTATTTGAATTATTCACAATCTGATTGTTCTGCTTTCTCTCTTGCTAGGAAGCTAATTACTCTTTCTCTTCAGGTGGTGGATATTATGCGTGTGAATGTGGATAAAGTTTTGGAGCGAGATCAGAAACTCTCAGAATTAGACGAACGAGCAGATGCCCTCCAAGCTGGTGCCCAAGTATTTGAAAGTAGCGCAGCAGCGCTCAAGAGGAAATACTGGTGGAAGAATTGTAAGGTGAGTCAGAAGTGGGCAGCTTATTGAGTGTATAGCTGCTGAGGCAATCCTACTTTTTAAAAATACGTTTATTGCAAGAAAACGTTACATAAGATTAAAAATATGGAAACAAGGACATTTAGAAAAAATATAAAGGAATAAAAGAAAAGTGAAAGATCACAAAGAAAAAAGTATCCAAAGAAGCAACTTTTGATCTTCTTTTCAGCACTTACGTAGTAATTACCATTTCTACCTATCCCCCAAATTACATATCATGGTTCCCTTCTTCCCATAAGCAAGCCTTTTTAATAAATCCCTATATCCCCAATTCACTGTTATCCAGTTCAGCCAAAAATCTATTCAGGGTTTCCAGTCTTTTATAAAATTGTTCCTGAGGCAATCATACTTTGTTATAATAAAACCATAGTGCATTTCCTGAACAGGGGACAGAGATCCACAGATCAGAAATAGAGCCAACATTTTGCATCCTTAAAGTTCTAGGTGCAATTTGAAATGTTTCCAGGAAAATGCTGGCATGTCTGGGAAAGTATAGCTGGGAATCTGGAAATTAATGCCAGACAAAATAATGAGTACTGGGGTAGTTGGATCAATGAACATGAATATAGACTTGGAATAAACAGTTTCAAATGGTCCATTGTCCATCTTTGTGGGAGACCCTGACTTTACCAAAGGAGATGTTGTGTGGGGCTTCTCTATGGGCTCATTGTAATTCTTCTCTTTAGATGATGATCATGCTGGGAGTGATCTGTGCCATTGTGGTCATTGCAATTGCACGTAAGTACTAAGGGGAATCAGAGTAGCTGAGTTTGTGAGTCACAAACATTGGCTAAACAACAATGTTTGCTTGCCCCTGGCATGGGAAATGGTACTGCTTTTGTCTCTCAGCACTGTTGAAGGCCAACAGATCAGTAACAGTTCTGTCTTTCGAGATGATGAGATTTATCACTTGTTGCATGAGAGGCAGTTAGAGAGGGTGGGGGGGGGTTCCTTCTCCTGATGCTCAACCATGTTTGTTAAATGTGGGATGCTGGGTATAACATGCCCTCTTGTTTTCTCCTTTCTCTTCCTTCTGTTGCTTCTGTTCCTAGTTTACTTTTTTACCTGAGAATGTGTCCCTTCCCCCTTTCCCCACCCAGTCTACAGCCTTCTTACCCCATTTCCCTTTCCAGACCCAATTCTTCTTTCTCTTTCCTTTCTGGCTTTGCCATCAATTTTCTGTTAGTTTTGTTTGCTTCCATTCAAGAGTGTAATGCACTGTTACCAGATTTGAGTTGACCTCCTTCACAGCTGCTGCAGCCTCTGAGTGGACCAGCTCGTTTTTGGAGAGTGGCACTGAGCCTAAGGGGAGGAATTGTGGAGGATTGAAGGAGTCTGTTGATTACACCTGGGGTGTCACTTGCAGTCTGAGATGTCCTTTGAGTCTTCTGAGATGTCTTCTCCTGTGAGTCTATAGGAAAGCATTTCCTTTGGGCACAAACAGTATTATTGAAAACTTCACCAGAAGAGAGAGAGGAAAAGCTGGGTCTCATTATAGTAGTGATACTGATGAGATGATTCTGGTATTGTGCCATGCAACCAAAATTGATCGAGTTTTCCCTCTAATATAAACTCCAGTTGATGCTGCTGGTGAGCAAAACTCTGATCTTATGATGACTGTCAGCCATCCTTTACTGTTTCATCTCTTGGTAGAATCCAACTGGTTTGTTCATTAACCTTGGCTCCAAGAACAAGTACTGTATATGCCGGCGTATAAGGCAACTTCCGCAAGCGTTAAAATCGGCGCCAAAGACGGGGATCGTCTTATACGCTGAGTCGTCTTATACACCGGAAATACTGGTAGTTTCCGGCGTATAAGACGACGTTCCAGGAATGCGGCTCGGTGACAAAGGCGGGGGTCGTCTTATACGCCGGGTAGCCTTGTACGCCGGCATATACGGTATGCTTTTACTGCCAAGTACTGCCAGAATTAGAGCTGAGATGGATAATATAGCATATAGGATTAGTATTATTCTAGTGTACTGCTTGAAGTCCTGTCCCCCTTGCTTTTAAAGGCTGGGTGGCTTATTTGACTGAATTAATAAATAAGGGAGGGTCCGACTGAATTGGAAGGTCCCAAACTGTTTGCCCCTTGGTGAATAGTAAGTTAGGAGCTATGTCCTGGAAACCTCTGCAGTATATTTAGAAGTGTTTCCTTTTAAAAGCAATGTGCTATAAAACGAGGACCCTTTCTGGTTTCATGACTTGGAAACAGCGGTACAGAATGCCAAGGATTCTGGAATAATGCCTGAATATTTGTTTTGATGTGCTGTTTCTCACCACGTTTACTTTCAGGTCATCCCTTGGTGATAGTTGTCAGAATATATAGTGACATGTATAGGTGAACCCATGCTCATTTATCCCTTGTTGAATAAGGTGTAGGACTCCAGGGTGGAAGGAGTTCAGAGAGTGATGAACATGTGTTTAAACATGCTGAAGAATGATAGTTTTCCTGATTCCAATATAAGGACTGATAAAACTATGAGGCTTAGCTTGTTAAGAGGCATTGTAGTGTCAGTGGTTGACCAGAGAATATTGTTGAAGGGGCTCAGAAGCTGTAATGCTCTGACAGGACTTATCAGCTGGTGGCCACTGGGCTTAATTTACTTTAACCTCAGACCAATTTTATCTGGCTCCTAAACATTCGTTCTGGCTGTGCTAGGAGTAACCCTACTCTCACCATAGCATGCTGCAGAGGTGCTGATTTTTTGCATGTTCACTGCCATGCACCAGCATTTCATTTGCAGAGTCCATCTGTTTGCGAATCCCCATCTTGTTTCCCCTTTGGGGGGAATGATGGAGGAGAACAGGAATGGAGTTCCCAACTTCTTTGGACAATTCTCTTCCTATTTCGGTGGGATTGTGTTGATGGAAGTGCAACACCTGAAGAGGAGCCAGGGCGCAAGTTGTGATGCTGCTGTCAGTATGAGAGGAAGCACAGAAGGTGTACAGCCCCTTCTTGATTTCTTCTGGACAAAATCTTGGTTTAATCTGCTGCCGTATTATTTTGAGAGAAGGCCAGTAGGCTGCTTTCTTCTGCTTTTCTTGTCTGTTTTCATAGGTGTTGTATGTTATGCCTCTTCTCTTTCTATCTCCCCCCTTCTCCACCTTTATGCATGGGCAAAAAGTACACCTATTTCCCTAGGCCCTCTTTGCCTAAACCAAGGGACTACTTTCTCTATGCACAGGACTTCAGCCGCTTTCTCACACATGTGTGGTTTGTTCTTGTGAGGAATGCAGCCATAATATTCTTCTGGCATATGTAACTACCAGCTCATGTACTCTTAATAACCTCCGCTAACAAATACTTCTTGACCCACTAAAATGAGTGGGGTTCATCTGTCTGAGTACTGGAGGAAACAGGATTCTACATGCAGGTAGTAAAGCAGAAGAACGTAGACTGAAATAAGAGTACTAAAACAGTATTGTCTGAACATGTATAATCTGATATGAGATAGATCACAAGGGGCCAACATGGCATCTAGACAGATAGATGCAGAAAAGCTGGCAACCTTGATCTTCACCCATGTGGATTCTTGTTCGTTGCTGCATAAAACAGGCTGAATTATGGCTCAGTAGTTGATATGTACAATTGCACAATGGGATGTTGCACTGAATATCGAGTAGATGAGCAGCATTTGTGCTTAATTTGGACTTGATATGGCCTTGTAGAAGTTTTACAAAATCGGCTGCAGTTATCAGCAGGCAAGACCTTTGGAAGAATCCAGAGCAAGGGCAGCCTTTGACTAGGGCTTAAAAATATCCCTTCTTTTTTTTTTTTTTGGTTTTGCCTAATCTGCCTCTCCTGTTTATCCCCCATTATACTGTACTGGCATAATGCATTTTCTATTTCTTTTGCATAAACAAATTTAGCAAAATAACTGTTACAAGCAGAATAAACAAATGTCAAAGAGAACAAAATGCTAACAGTGTAATATTCCTAATTAGTTCCAGTGTGGAAATAAACGGTATACAACTAACCTCTTGGATACAGTGGTTGAGAGCGCATGAGAATTTGTTCAAATCCTTCTGTTTAAATATAAAGCTACTGTGCAAAAGAATTGTATGATGGTTCCACATCTATAAAAGGAATTCCTGAATTTGCTGACCCTGCATAAGAAAGTGGTGATGAAAGGGCAGCACAATGTTGTCACAATAGGCCTTGTGCTGTTTGACAACAACTTGTGCCCAGTTTATGCATACAAGAGAAACTAGAAGTAACAGAAGTTCTCCCATATTCATAGTCTACTTTTCTATTATTTCTCTTCAAGTCAGTGTAAGATCAAAAGAAACACAATTCTCAAATGGCACTGCTTTGGTTATGTGTAGATGATATAGAAATGGTGCATTAAGGTCCTGCCCAGCTGCTATCAACACAAGTATATAGACTACAGCATACTGAAATTAGAGCAATACTTGTCTGTCTTGCACTGTTAATATGGCACATGGGATTAGGATTATTCTGGTGTACTTAGGGTATCAACTTTCAGTCATTGCCTGAAGTCCCATTCCCTTTATGTTACTTCACCTGTTGCGTGCCAGAGATATTTTCTCTACCCTCCATCATGGCTGATTTAAATGCAGAGAGAGTATTGTATTTGCTACAGATGGAAAAAATTAACCGTAGCACATGGAATGGGAAGCTATAACTTGCTGACAGTGTATGTGTACACGTATACAATGTATACAAAAGTGCTAAGAGACGTGCCATTGCGTGGTTGAGACATGGTTCTCAACCTTTTCTTCACTTCGAACTCTACATACCTTTTGGGGCCATGGACCATGACCACGGACCACCAAGACTTAATTCAAGATTTAAATCATAACATTTCTTCAAGTTGTGACAAAATCACAGCCCCCCAGGTGTCTGTGGATCACAGGGTGAGAACCACTGATTTAACTTACAGATATGGAGAGGATTCCAAAAAGAAGAACAAATAGCAATAATAAACTTTTTAAAAGAGATCTCCAAAAGAGGCTACACAACAAAAGTAACTTAAATTAAACCTGAATGATTATAGAATGGCACTGGTACTCTGGGTTTCGGTCATAGTTATACTTTCCAGTCAAAATCATAAGATGTTTTCTCTTTCATTTTCAGAAAATACATTTTTAATTTGTTATCCCTAATGCTAAAAATGCAGACCAAAACCAAAACTTTTTTTTTTTTGCAAAAAATATTTGCCCAAAAGGGGATTCTTATAATATGATAGCTACAATCATTTTATCTAGTTAAGCCAGTGGTTCTCAACCTTTTTAATCCACGACCCCCAACCGGTCGTAACTCGAGGACTACTCAACCAGTTGCAAGTCGAGGACTACTCAACTAGTGCAGCACCGTTTGCAGAATGGGACTTTTGGCGGGCTCAGCAGGGCAGAGACAGCCTGGACAATTCCTATTGGCTTTTGAAAGCCAATAGAATTAGACTCTATTCAAGAGAGTCTATTCTATTGGCTTTCAAAAGCCAATAGAATAAAAGGGAGTAGCACAGCCAAGGAAAAGGGGAAAAAAATGGCGGACTGCGTTGTTTGGCGACCCCCGTGAGATGGTCGTTCGACCCCAAATGGCGCCCCGACCCACAGGTTGAGAACCACTGGATTAAGCTAACATATTAGTAAACATTCAGAGAGAGTCTTTGCAGAAGTGGCTGTCCATATGCAGTCAAGGAACAAGGAAATCTTTAAGAACTCAGAAGGAAGCACTGGGAGAGAAACACTGATGTTGGTGGGATTCTTGCTTCATTGCCAATGGAAATCTTCACTGCTGAAAGTACTTTCCATTTTTACTGGCTGTAATACGCAAAGAGCACAATATTTTGTGAAGAAAAGGGCTAAAAGTCTACTTCAGTAAAATTCTTCAATTGGAAGGGCTGGAGATCCATGCCTTTTCCTTTTTTTGTTAATGAGATGAAATATAGAAGGTGGACCTTGATTGATGGAACACTAGTGGAATCTTCATAAATTAATCTTCTCTTTGTATAGCATACAGTTATCTTCCTATGTAGGTTAGTGGGTTTATGCAGAACTAGCATAGAGAAGTTGTATGCTAGAAAACAACAAATATGTATTAAAACAACAATGCTTTCTAACAATATAAGTTAGAAAGTCTGACCTTCTAACCCCATCTTGGATTTTTTGATACAGTACTATTGAAAGGGAGAAAAGGAAGCTGATGTTCACATAACTATGCTTTGCTTGTAGAGAAGTATCATATTTGTTGAATAGAAAACGGTGACAATATGAAGCCCATCCACACACTTCAAGAATGAACCTAAGACTAAGAATATACTGTTTTTGTGGCATTAGCTCTCAGGAGAACAAAGGGAGTAGGAAACAGTTTGTTTAACTGAAGTCATTCAGAGGGAGATACACAATACAGGAGCTGAATATTGAGTCTCAGAGTAGTAGAGCAAGACGTAACATCCATATTAAATGCAAAATAAAGTATACAGTCTTCAAAGCTTGGATCTACTCATAAGGAAGAGAAGTGGATAAAGATCTTGATATAGCTTGCTTAAAGAAGCACTGGTTGAAGTATATCTTTGTACTTCATGGACCCAGAATTGGGGAACCTTTACTTTTCAAAGTATGGAAGTTTATCCATGTATATGTACTAGGATTGTTCTAATCCTAGGAAGCTTTCATATCCTGTTTAGCTGTTCTCGGTTTCAAATGCATAACTTCAAGCAGCAAAGAGTTCTAGCTATTTCAAGGGATGGGAAAAATACTGAAAAGCTTGTGTTTGTTTTTAACCTACAAGAAAGGGGTTAGGTTTCTTTGTCCACTTGACTTTAATTTGATCAGCAAGTGGCCTCAAAGAAAAGAAACGGGGAGCAACAACCCAGATCAATTTGTAGAAACTTACTTTACAAAATATATGGGGGAAAGAATATCTACACACAATCCATCTTTTTAATTTTGTTTGGTGGTGGACAGATACAGACTTGAGGAATTGTGCGCACACCAAGGACAAAGTGAGAAAGAAAGGTGCTTTCATGTCACTGGGTCTGTACCTTCAAAATTCTTTTAAATGACATGCAGGTCTGTCTCCTCTGGGTGTAAGAATCCAGGTAACCAGTTAGTTCCAAGTGCTGAGTCTATAAGTCAGCATTAATTGGAGTACATAACAATGTCATATCCAAAGCATTCATATCCAAAGTCTGGCTTTTATTCTGTTCTCCTGCAGGAAACTCTGTGTAAGTCTAATGTTTCTAAGGTGTTATAGGATGGCAGTGCAGTGATCCCAGTCTCGGCAGGCATTTCTTGTGGAGTTTTGTGAACTGCAAATACATTGTGGAAGACAGAGTTATTTGAGTTGCTGGGTGTATAAAGGTCCGAGGATTGATATAAGTACAGCCGGCGGAAAACCAGGATGCAGGTGACAATCAAAAAATCCAAAATCAACTCAGCCAGTTCTACCACAGAAAGGACTGATGAACCAAACCAAAGACTCCATTGGTTCCCTAGCTGGGAAAGTAATGTCACCACCTGTACAAGGAAAAAAAAATTAAAAGTAGTTCAAAAAGATCTCTTTCTCTGTGTGCAGTTGATGTATTGATAGGGGGTTTACGAACTAACATCTTTTGCTTTGGGCTTGCCTAGATTTTAGGAGTTTTCTTGTTGGTTCTAGGAATTGGAAAACCACTCTGTTTACACATAAGAATGGGTATGCTGCTTTTGTCTCAAAAGCAGGATCAATCCTGTCAAAGTTGAAATTGCATTTTGAAATTTAACCCAATGCTTAATGATACATTGCAAAAAAAAAAATGGTTATCAAGCTTTGGCTATCATTTTGATTTGTTGAATGAAATTAAGGTAAAATTACCCTGTCATTGTACTATATATGAAATGTTGATCGCTTACCGCTATATATCAGCTGTGATATTCTGCTGATTCTTGTCTTTTGCTAATGGTATCAACTGTAAAATTACTGAGACCTACAGTAAAACTACTGGAGGTCAAATGTTCTCAATTACAGAGAAATGTTTGCAGAGCATACAAATCTAAAGTGCATACATGACTCTAGAGTACATTTACCATAAACATTTGCTTAAATGAATAGGTAGATTGAGGGTAAGAAAAAATAGCTAAGTTTCCCCCCTGATCAATCTAGTATGGGTATCCTTTCAAAATGTCCTGCTGGCTAGGTAGTATTGAAGCATAGACTAAGAACTTGTCCATTGATTAGTGGAAGAGAGTTTGCTCTGCCAGGCTAAGATGCCTAAAAGTATTGCTCTAATTAGTATTAATAAGTAGCATTAATCTGACAATGCATTCTGTCTATCACCTTCCAAATAGCACCCACATTGAGAAAATACAGTCTATTGAAAATGGAAACATGGCTTAAAGGAAGATGCTGGAGAAGATCCTATAAGGATAGTTCTAAAATTTGACCAATTAGAACAGGGGTAGGCAACCTTGGCTCTTTTATGACTCGTGGATTTCAACTCCCAGAATTCCTGAGCCAGCGTGGCTGGCTCAGGAATACTGGGAGTTGAATTCTATGAGTCATAAAACAGCCAGGGTTGCCTACCCCTGAACTAGAAGGATGTTAAAGATGGTAGCTCTGTGATATTTTAGGCTGTTGGCAGCATGCAATCAAATGTGTGGACATACCGTGAAAGCTGGAGATTCTCCGTTGCTTTTATAATTCCACTCGTTAAAAAATATATTCACTTTGGCAATTCCATCCCTGGGAAGAGGAGAGAGATGGAATGAGTCCAGTCTTGTTAGAAAAGTGCATCTGTCTGAGACTGCAATTCGACTCTGCCTCATTTAGGAAGAATCTCATCTCGGTGGGTCATCTTTGAGGACGCATTTGCTTAAAATAAATGTCCTTTTAGTTCAATGACCCTTGCTGCTAGGCAAATATATCTACAATAGGAGCCTTTAATACTCAAACCTTCAAGGCAGAATCCTCAGATCTATACCAGTTTTAGTGCAGCTTTTAATAGCTACTTCATTGGATGTCTAATTTTACTTTAAACTCCTGCTGTGATCTGCAAACCGTATAATGAGTCAGGAACTTGTAACTAATATGAGCATCGGTTCAGATGCTGAGATTGGTGCTGATCTTTAACCAGCACTTTATGGCTTGCAGCCTAAAATAACCTAATATTTTGTGGAAGAATGGACTTCTGAATAGTTTTCTGCACTTGAAGTTCTGTTCTTAGGAAAAGCTGCACTACTCAAGATTTATTTAACCTAATTTCTGAGCTCATAGCGCCCTGAACCATTAACTAATGGTATAACCAGGACTACACAGATCTTTTACATTCTAATACTTCCAGCTGATCTTGAAGCAGTTAATACTGTATATTGTACTTTCACCCTATTTCTCTCATCATTTTTTTATCTCAGCACTGCTGTTTCACCCCATTGGTTTGACTTTAACCAACACTTTTCCTCCCAGCTGTTAATATTATTTCATCTATAGGGGGAGCTCTTACCTCTTAGATATGACATTGTATTTATTCTGCAGGTTCAGCATGTGAAACACCCAGGACTGAAATGATAGATTTGCAATATCAGCTTAAACAATTCAAGGACAGTAGAGACATCATATATATATATATATATATATATATATATATATATGAAAGGAAAATTGCATTCTCTTGAGTGCAAAAGAGTACTTGTTCTTTTTTGCTTTCAGTATTTCTCTCCTCCAAGTAATCAGTTAGATCTGGTTTACATTTCTGTCTCCACCCCGTGCCCTTCACTTATAGAATGGGCAATAAAGGGAAGATGCTATTGCATCTATTGGTGTGAAGCATTCATTTGGTTCCTTGTAACTTTCAATTGTTTCTCATCCTTGCAACTTTAAGATGTATGGACTTCAATTCCCAGAATTCCCCAGCACCAAGAAGTCTACACATCTTAGAGTTGCTAAGGTTGAGAAATACATTTTTGGGGTGCCTTCAAGTCAGGGTTGAATCCTGCCTGGCCTAGTCTCTGTAATTTTCTTGGGAAGGTTTTTTGGAAGTGGTTTGCCATTGCCTCCTTCCTAGACTGGCCCAAAGTCACCCAATTGGCTTCATGCTCAAGGCACACGAGAATTCACAGTCTCCTGGTCTCTAGCCTGATGATTTAATCACTATACAAAACTGGCTCCTGTGAGAAACACTGCCTTTACAGCAAAACTCAGCTTCTTACCTCAGAGACAGATGAAGGCCATTGTGAATATCCGGCTGACAGCTGGTACTCTGTCACTCTAAAGAAAAGTAAAAAACTTCAGATGTCTCACCCAGCACATTTGAGATCTTTAGTTGGCATCTTCATTCAAAAGTGTGCTTGCATGGTTGATGGAAGTCCTATAGCTGAACCTCCTGCCAGCATCTGAGCAACATACGTTTATTACTCTGCAGCTTAAATAATCTATGAGAATATTTAAACAGAGGTGCCCCATCTCCTTCCCTTTTATTTCTCTGCTTGGGTGGTCCTTCTTACAGCTAGAACTGGGAGGCCAGCCTGCATGGATGTGTTCAAGGATAACATCTGTTCGTTCCATTTCCCTGAATATCTTCTATTGCCAAGCAAGCTCTGTGGAATTTGGCCAGACCCAAGAATGCAACTCCACAAGTTTTGAGGCTTACTTACTTGCAAGGTTTTCGGCATTTAGTGAAGCAGCCTAGGTGGTTTGCTTTAAATTCAGCTTGGAGTTTATAATAGCAGTAACCTAATAAAAATAAATAAGTATGTATTAATTGAACATTTTTTTATGAACAAAAGGAGCTGATGGGGGGGGGGGATTACAGACAGATGATACGGTGGATTCCTCCCTGCCTTTCTCTGTACTTACCCCAGGCTACATGCTTAGCGGAGTCACAGTACTCTGCTCTTGGGGGTAAGGGGTAGAAGTAATGGCCACAGCCACATCGTTCTACCATACTGGTCTGGAAACAGGAACGTATGCAGACCTAGAAACACAAAAAGAGACATTTGAATATTCAGCTGTGCATTCATGCTGGGAGATTTTTGGTGATGGGAATAATCCCAATTCAGGGAGAGAGCTGGGCAGAATGAGAGTGGTTCTGTTGAGGGAAGATACCTGCTCAGTGTAACGAGATGGGAATAGGTTCTTCACTGGCACATCACTTCCATCTTCTGTGCAGTCACTGTAGCTTCCCCCAAGACGCTGGGTGGTTTCCTGTCAATCAATTTACAGCTTGTCAAAATCAATGCAGGTTTTTTTTTTTTTTTTTTTGCAACTGGGTGTCATATCTTTTCTTTGCTTGCTGGCTGAAGGTACTGCCTGACTCAAACTCAAAGTAGAAATGTTCATCTGAAGATTTGTGCTAACACATCCAGTACACTTTAGGTCAACGTTTCTCAACCTTGGCGATTTTGAGAATTCCCCAGCCAGCCAGTATAACAATGTCATACAGGTAGTCCTCAACTTACAACCATTCATTTGGTGACTGTTCAAAGTTACAACGGCACTGAAAAAAATTAGTTATGACTGGCTTTCACATTTACAACCGTTGCAGCATCCCCATGTTCATGTGATCAAAATTTGGACACTTGGCAACTGACGTGTATTTATAACAGTTGACAGTTAATGGCTAGCAAAGTCAACAGGGGAGCCAGATTCACTTAACAACCATGTTACTAACTTAACAACCACAGTGATTCACTTAACAATTGTGGCAAGAAAGATTGTAAAATGGATCAAAACTTAACTGCCTGGTTTAGCAACAGAAATTTTGAGCTCAATTGTGATCATAAGTCAGGGACTATCTGCATTCTTGTTATTATAACACAGTAAGTCATAAAAGTTATACCAGGAGCCTTCCTGTGTGATGGGAGCCTGTGAAAACGATGGTAAGTACTCCATGGTGAAATCCCAAATTTAAATATCTCCCTGACATAACAATGGCACACTAAGTGGAAAGGAGAATTATATACTGCGTGAAGCTACGCATTGCACTGTTTTTCATAAACGTGGGATGGGGGGGGTGTATCTTTCGTATTTACCAAGTGGTGTGAAAGGGCTATTTTATCTTCCTAAAATAGGGAATTATTTTCCCAATTTCATTCTGATAAGAACGCTGTATATTAATCCCTGATACAACAATTGACCACCAACTGCCAGATGCATTTTTTTATTGAGGAAAAACACAAACCCTTGCCCATTTTTTAAATCAATCAGCACTATGGGAGGACACTCATTGGGAACTGTGACATCTTGTAACTTCACAGAATAGATTTTTGTTTTTTTGTAAGTAGTGAAGAAAAGGGTCATAGTTGCTTCTTACATTGTGGGATAGAAGCAAGTAAACACTTTTAAGAGTATAGACCAGTTTTTCTCAACCCCAGTAACTTTAACCTGTGTGGATATAATTCCCAGAATGCTGGCTGGGGAATTCTGGGAATTGATGTTCCCACAGCTTAACGTTATTGGCATAGACTGTTCTTTCTGTTCTGTACCTTGTTAACTTTTAACACACAAACATACACACACACCTCCCTAGATAAGAAAATGGTAGGTTGTTTTTATGACAATTCATTGTATTGATCGTTTGTTGACAGATTCTAGTTTTACAGCACCATAATAGCTCATGTTTTCTTTTGGCAAACTATGAGTTCTAATAAACTCAGAACTGAATAAAACTGAACTGAACTGAGCCTGTTCTTTTTTTAGCCTTGTGCTTATATTTCCTTTCTTTGGAAGAGAAGCAATCCCACCCACAGGCTGAAAGCAAGGCTTATCTTCCTCTTGTCTCTCACCTTTCTCATACTGATGGATGTTTCTATGCCAGGACGCACATTAAAACCTCCTTCGTCCATGAAGGCGGGTTCATTCTGATTGTGGACCATTACTCGGGCTCCAGTCACAGTGGACAATAGTGGGATAAAGTCATTTTGCTCTGTACGGATGACGAGAGAAAGGCCTGCGGAGATAGAAACCAAGGGTGAAGAGATCAAGTGAAGAGATCAAGTGATTCAGGGAGGGAGATATAAAATTTAAAAGAAATTTTGCCACGTTGAAGGAGTCCAAACAATGTTGGAAACAAATGACATGAGTCATAGTAGCCTTCCAAAGCTTTGAATATGTTTCTGAGATGAAATTCTAATGTAGCAGTACAGTGGCCTTATGCCTGAATGTGCTGACCTTAAAAAAAAAATTCTTCAGTAGAATTTGCTAACAATCTTAAAAATGGATGTAAGACAACCTGGAGAGGGAAAAAATGCCGGTTGGAGTAAAGTCAAGGTACAGTTTGTGCCTTTGTCATTGAGTCATAGAGGCCAGGCCTGTGTTATATAAATAGGCAAACATCACTTCAAACTAGCAAGGAAAGTTCTATTGCTGGATACACCTTTTTACAAAATGTTCTCGGCATAGATAATAAAACTATCTAACACGAGTTGCAGCCTAGCCATTGTGTACTATGGAAATAAAGTTAAGAGTACATATATTTTGTGAAAAAAATCTTGAGGCTGTTGCTTTGCTTTAAATAACCCAAAGATTAATTTTACGTAAAAAAAATAATGTGGTGTGGTTGGAAAGCCTCATGTGTCTGCAATTAAGAGCCTGTAGTTTGCTCTCCTTCATTTGGAAGCGAAAATAAGTCTCGTAAGAACTTGAAATGCAAAAATCATGAGTTAGAAGAAAAACGCAATTGAATTGAGAAAGGAATTAAATGGTGACAACTCTGAGAATATCACCAAATCACTCTGATGCCTATGATGCAGCGCAATAGAAAAGGAAGAGAACAGTGCAGACTCCTTTTTTAACGTGTGAGTGTGAACACACATACACTCACACTTACCCTCTCTTGCCCCTAGTGATGAGTAGATGAAGAAAGCCAGGCCATGTAATGTTTAACTCTGGACTTCATTTTCAATATGGCAAAATTCATACAGAATTTTTCTCCATTCCTTCCCAGTCAAAGGATGCTTTTTCCCCTGTTCTGTAGTTTTAAGAAATAACTGCAGTATCTCCTTAGTGCAATTAAGTCTATGTCCAGAGGAGCCTGGATACTGAAAATAGAATTTTAAAAAAATATTTTTTTCTTTTTGGCCTCCATAGTATTTGTGCATACAAACAAGGGGCTCATGGCTATTGTTGTAAGAGCCCTCCCAGACATTCATTACCATTTTTTGTCATTTGCTTACCATTGTTGATCCCAGGCAAGGAGGACATCCACAAAGTGCTGCTATTGTCGTTGAACGTGTAGCAGTTCCCATAAATAGGATGATGAAAATGTGTATAGTTCCTGAAAGAACAAAAATAAAGATTGAGGCTAACTGCACAACTGATTGAAATAATTGAGTTTGCAACCCTTAGAGGAAAAAGTAGAATAGCATCTTTATTGGGACTGTCTTAACATAAAAAGTTCTCTTATTTGAAATTTTGCGTGTTGGAAAAACAACACGCAAAATTTCAACTAAGAGAACTTTTATGTTAAGATGGCTGTCTGTATTGTGCCAGGCTAGGTTGAAATGGGATTGTGTGGTTTGTGTTTCAACATGTAAGAACACAGTATCAGCTTATTGTGAGAATCAGTATTCCATAAACCATGTTGTGGGCATAACATGTTATTGAACACAGCAGTTATGCATTACTAGCCTGTGTCTAGGGTTTGAGGTATTGTGTGAACTCAACCAAATAATTCTACCTTTCCCCCTGTACATGCTGCACCTTGAGATTTTTTTTTGTACTAGAAAGATTTAATAACACATCACACCTCTTTTGTTCCATGTTAAAAGGCTATTGCAGATACTTTTTTTTTTTTAAAAAAAAATCAAGCCAGGCAACATATTTTTTTCTTCCTTAAAAAAAATTCAATGAACTAGAACATTATTTAGTTGATTGTAGGAAAGATGTGCAAACTACTTCTGATTTTTAATGGGAAATCCTTATAGATGTATAAATGGGCTTCTCTAGAGAAGGTCAGCTTCTAAAATGAGACGGATGAACTTCACGTTGTGTCACACTGCTTATGACCCCCGCATTGGGTACAATCAGCAGTGCAGCTGGCATTTATCAATGGTTTTAAATATGTAGGAGAAAGCTTGATGCCAGCAGCAGGTAAACTTGGCTGAGTGGGTGGGTGTGGGTGGATGGAGTGTACGCAAGTTGTGAAAGAAATACCAGAGAAAGGTTAACTAACAAAGTCTGCAAACAACTGCTGGAGCTAATGGTGGCTTGTCCAGGTGCCAGCTGGATCCAAAGGAGCCAATGTTCAGCTGCACTAAAAGGCCATATTGTTCCCAACAAGAGACCCAACCAATGTGGCTAATTCCAGTTTTAAGTGTGGTCACATAGTCATTATTTCATCACCACGACAGATGGAACCCACTGGGGATTTAATAAACTTTATGGTTTTGCTGCTTTCCTCACACTGAAAAGTCAGAGAAAAGGAGAGGGGGTAGTTAATAAACTCTTGGCATCAGACTCGAATACCATGGCCAGTGGACTGTGTCGGCTTGGATGAGTCACAAGTTGTGATTCCGTCACCATTCCCTCCAAGAAATTCCTCCAAGGTATTTTGAAGCCAAATCTTGTCTATTTCACTCTTCCCTTTGTGGGGATGAATCCCATCAGAGTTAGTGGCATCACAAACCTTATGATGTTAACTGGGAATCACTTTCTTATTTCATCTACATCCTATCTTCTTTCCATGCTTCAGTTGCTCTAGGTCTTGATTATAATTGTTTTTTTTTGTGTGTGTATGTGTGTGTGTACACATACATATATACATATATGTACACATTCTTGATTGTAATGTACACACACATGTATACACATACATATATACACACACAAACACACACACAGAAAGAGATGTAAAGTGGAAAAACAAGCATTTTCAAAAGAAAAGAAAAAAGCGAACTAGTTGTTGGACAGTTATTGAGAAGAAACAAATCTGTAAAACATTTACCCAGATGACTTTTGTTAATACTAATCTCCATGTTCTAAGCTATTGATTTTAGAACAATCCCCCTGCCTGGAATGGGGGCGGTGCAGTAGCTCAGCAATTAAAATACTGAGCTTGTTAGCTGGAAAGTTGGCTGCCCAGGTTCAAGATCCAGCACCATGCAATGGGGTGAGCTCCTATCCTCATTCCAGCTCCTGCTAAACTAGCAGCTTGAAAGCATGCAAATGCAAGTAGATAAATAGGTACCATTTTGGTGGGAAGGTAACAATGTTCCGTGATGTCATGACTTGGAAATGTCTTTGGACAATGCTGGCTCAATGGCCAACGGAGATGAGCACTGTCCTCTATAATTGGCAACAACTAGTGGAGTAAAATTCACAGGGACTCCTTTTTGTAACCTCCCTGGAATAGGAAATGCTAAGGGGAAAAATGGGGAGTGCAATGAAAATGGGGCAAATATGAAAAAATGTCTTATCCTCCCTCCCAAAGTCTCCATCCTTCTTTTTGTAGTTCTTCAAAATGATCTTTGAAACTAAGTAAAAATGTCACTTTAATTCAATGGGATTTCACAAATATAGCACTTCTACTCCGTTGTGGGTATATGATATTATTATATAATCTCATCTATTGGGTAACTATGAGGTAATCAATAAAGTTATGCTTAAATAATTTATTGACTACACAACTTCAATATGGTACATATCAGCATGTCTTGGAAGCTATTTTTATATGTTTTTATGTTCAATGAAGTAGGTCCATTGGAGTTCCCTGTGCTGTTAGGAAAGTAGATATGAGATCAGTACAAAATACATCAGATGCTTAACAGGACTGGTGATTGAGAACCTAGCTTGTTTAAAGGACTAACAAATTGGGGGCACATTTCAACCTACAAGTGCAACTCTTCTTAGCTTAGGATCTGGCACCATTGGAAAAATCTCCCATAACAACCGTCCTGCTTGTCGAAAACCATTTAGGTATGAGCACAAATGGCAGTAACTAAGGAAAAACATAGAATGTCCTTCTCCTGGTGAGTGATCCATGATTGGTACCTTTTGATTTCCATCCAAGTAAAGATTTTATTTATAAAGCAAACTTAGTCTTCTGATTAAGAAGATGGAATTGAATAAAAATATTCAATTCCATTTTCTTAATCAGAAGAGTAAGTTATTCTGAGGATCATCTAGCTTTAGCTTCATATGATGCTGCTGTGTGTATGTCGATTTGAGATTTGAATAAGGAATAAAATTACACTTCCAAGTCCAAATCAGATATTTATGTGTTCAGTGGAAGGCCTGAAATGAACTTCTATGTATTTCGGAAATCTACATACAGCCCTCCCCATAAGACTGGAAAGCAGTTAAGGAGTCTAAGCCTATGTAAAGATTCATTGTCCTCACCACTAAAGCAAATGAAATTCAGACTTTGTGATGAATGAGTGATGTGTTGGTATAGACGACACCTGCTAGCTACTCCCATCAATAGTAGTAATAATCTAGCCACAAATAGCTCAACACATAATTTGTTTAGTGTGTCACCCAAGCCTTGTAACATTCCTCTGGGGATCAGCCAGAGAAGGAGGCCAAGAAGGTGTTCAGATCTACTGGTCAGTTTTCTAAACCTGCTCATAGGAAAAGCTATTAGACGTGTTTATTGGTATCATGAAAACTGTCCCTTTCTTGGTAAATTTAGAGTTTACTTAGAAACTTAGTTTTATGGATGAAGTGGCAGATCTTCTTACTTTACTGCAGACTATACTGCATACTATAATCCAACTACCTCTTGACTAAATGGTGATTAAAACCTATGTAGATCATGTCAGGAGTTCCTTCCATTGAGCTGAGGACCCAGACCTACCACTTTTTTTGAAATAAATTTAAACGATAGTGTGAATTAGTCAACATCGATAATCAAATTATTGATAATAACAAGGTGAGTTGTTGATAGTTTCAATAAGAGGAAATGATGAGAACTAAGACTGGAATGGTGGGGACTTAAGTTGATCTATGGAGCAATAATGTTGGAACTCACGCTTTGTTACATGTCAGTTCGTTGAATCGGCAGGCATAGATGAAGCTTGTGAAGTTGGATTCCTCTAGGGCCTTAGTGTCAGGGAACTTTGCCAAAATGTTGATGTAATGAAAACTGTACCACTCCCGTATGGCATCCACACCGGAGGAATACATTTGCTGGAAACAATCTGTCTTGTTTTCATTACACTGAAAAAGAAAACAATCCCATTCAATCCATTCTGGAACAAGAATGAACTAAGTGAGATGGGAAAACATTCCCAATTATAGAGGAATCACTGGACAAGGGACCCCAGATGATCCTATGAAAACCTCTTCTCCATCTATAGAATCAGATGTATGTCCGTATGATATTTTTAATCCACAAATCAACAAGAGCCTCATTATTAATGTAATGAATTCAGCAAATCTCTTTATTTCTGAAAACTTGTCAACATTCTCAGAAATTAGAAGATGAAGTAATTTTTTTCTGTTTAGTCTAGATTTAATGACAAGTTTAAGGACTGAATCAACCCCACAGTGATATACAAGAATATGATATGGATCTTTTTTAAAAAAAAACATATTTTTCTTCCTTTTTATATTTTTAATAGTAACACATGTGATCTTTTAAAAATTGTATACTGTATTGTTGGTGTTGTAATTGCTTGCGTTTCAGTAATATAATAATGATGGTGATGATGCTATATACTGGATTCAGTGATCAGTACAACTGCTCTCAAATAACTTAATCACTTGTAATAAGATTACCTTATTTAGAACATAATGACAGAGTTGGAAGGGACCTTGGAGGTCTTCTAGTCCAACCCCCTCCTCAGGCCTGAAACACTATACCATTTCAGACACACACGCAGATATGATAGATATTGGGAGGAGAACATATTCATGATTTTGATTGGATGCTTTTCAGATCCAGGAATTTGGCCATGAAGGTGATTGAGGGGTCTTGGCACAGTTGTACAAAAAGAATCTGAAATCATGCTTACCAGGGTGAAACCAATGCTCGAATCACTTTTGCCCACTTGGGGGTTATTGTCCTCCATGTTGGCTCGTATATCACGTTTGCGTCGATGCAGTGGGTAGCGCTGAATATGATTGTATAGACTCCTAGAGATGCGCTTCTGAGAGGATTTGTGCTCCAAAGATATATTGTATTTGTACATCTCCAGAAGAGTCTGTCGGGTCATTTGATCCAATTCTTCCATCTCTTTCCGAAAAGCACTATACCTAAAAGATGGAAGAATTGGCTTCAGGGATACAGTATCCAATTGTTAATGAGTTGCTGGTCTTCAGATGTGTGAGACTATAACTCCAGAAATCTCTGTCAGTATGGCCAAAATTCAGCATATCCAAAGGCACAAGCTTGGGAATGCTGAAGTTCACGTCCTTTTAACAATATGGTATATTGGAGGTGAGCAGAAGATGAAATAGGATCCAGCTGTGCTGGAATTCTTATCAAGATTGTTGGACTGAGGGTATCATTTCTAGAACAGGGAAGATCTATCTATTTCAGGTCCAGGGTCACTTTCGGCTTTTTGTAACTCATTAAGGTTTATACTCACAGAAATGGGCAGGGCCATTGGAAAAGCAATTGAGGTCATCAAAACACAACAACAACAACTACAACAACAACGTGTGCCCATCTTAGTCTTGATCACCCCACCCCACTCTTCCAAGTTTTGGCTTGGTTGTTGCATTCCCATCAACTTATCATTTGTCATTTTGTAATAAATTATTTTAAGCTTAAATTAATCCCTACGATAACAGTTATAGTTTATCTTACAGTACTGAAGAAGTGCATATATTTTTGAGATTATTCTGTTTTTGTCCATTCTCATCAACCATCATAGTATTTTGTTAAAAATCAATTACTATTACGAATAATTTTTAAATGGATTGACTCGATCTTTCTCTTTCCTACCGTTCCTTCAATTAAATTAAATTTTAAGTTAAATCCTAATAATTTCCCGGTTTTCATCATTTTTGTTATGCTTTCTAGCCCAAGCACCACATAATTAAAAGCAGTTCCAGAATTCTTGACTCTTGGAGCATGTCTCCCCTACAATAACGCTATTCATTCATCCTTGGTAGAAAATATGATAGCATGACATCTGTTGTCCTTGTTGCTGACCCCTGTCCGTCTCAGTGATGTCTGTGTTGCAGTTGCTCTGAATCACGTGACTTGTGACAAAGCCTAACAGATTTCACACACCTTGAGGAAGGATATGGAGAAAATTACTGTCACCAGTGCAGCAGCTAATGACAACTTAAGCAGCTGCTGTCTCATTCACGGACAGGGGAATGAGATGAATATAAAAAAGATTTTTAGAGCATGGTGATGCTATATTAGGCATTACCAGGAAGATATTTTGCAATAGCAGCCATGTCTCTCTAGGTAAGTTGCACCCTTGAAGAAGAATTCAAGAATTCAACCTCTACAATCCGAACATCTGCGGAAATATAAGGGTAATTTCATTTAAAATTTAAATTTCTCTTGAAAATCCTGAAGCTTTTCTTGGGCACTAACGATTTGTCAGAGAAGTTTTGCAGCAAGTAACCATGCCTTGTAAAAATAATGTAAAAATTGTTATAGGAACACTGAGAAGTAATCCTTTAGTTCTTACATCACTAAAATCTACAACGCTACAGGTACAGATAGCCACAACTTACAGTGTTGTTAAGTGATGCAGTCATAAAATGTGACATTACGTGACTGCACCTCTTAGTGAGAGCAATCCCAGCTGTCTGGTTGTTGTTGTAATTCCGGACATATAGTTGCTAAGCAGGATAGAATGCTAGGTAAGGAGCCTGGAGGGGGCATAAGGAGGCTTGGCGCAGTTCATGTGTACAAGATGTGGTGGGTGTTGCAGTGTGGCACAAGTTCAAGGAGGCCAGAGAAAGAATGTGTGTGAGTGAGGTTCAGGTGCACTTGATTGCTAATATCTCCCATATTGAAGGGAGTTCTGGGCCCTGTATTGAAGCTTTGAGGGGAAAGGTAACTGTGCACTTTTAACAGTCAATAGTTTCTCTTGTTTTATAAATCAAATGCCCTGATGGATCACAGTTCCCCAAATATCAATGCCAGGAGAGCATAACATGCAGACCTGAAAGATCAGCAGTCTTACCTATACGGATTGAGAGTACATACTGTGACAGCAGGAAAGGTAAGTCTATCAGAGTTCAGGTTCAAATTCAAGTTGACTGGAAAGCTGAAATAATTTGTATAAATGATTCCAAACTGCCAATACAAGAGGCCAAAAGTCAGGAAAAAAAGAACTGTCCAAAAGGCAGTCTTCATCTTATTCTTCTTAGAACAAACCAGCCGGATGGCACCATGGATGGTTGTATTGTTGCAAAAAAATTGGAAAAGGTCCTGGTAGGAACTGAAGAATTCGATCAGGCCTTCGCTTTCTTCCTTCTTCTCTTCTTCCACCTCAGTTTCCACCTTCACATTCTGTTGCTTTGCTTCCAGTCTGGGCTGCTCCATCTTCTTACCTTCTGACGGATTTTCAACCTTCATAGCTGAAAGCTGGAAAGGAATATTCAACAATATTGTGAATTTTCTGCTTCTGATTTTACCATTCATATATGAAAGTCCTGATATCAGATAAAAAGACTTGGCATTTTGAATGTGACATTGTGCCTTGGTATCTGTAACTGAGTGGAGTACAGCCATACACTATGCGTGCTTCCTTGAAGATAAATCCTAATGAATTCAATGCAACCAGGTTTCCAGGTAACATTGCAGCCAGAAATCTCTTCCATGTATTATTATGATGTTGGCAGGCCTCAGATGTAATTTTTCAGAATCTATAAAATTATGCAAAATATTAAAGTATTACTTTAAATGTTAACCTTATAACATAAATCTCTGGACTTAAAATACGGATTTTTGTGGACATTTAACTTTAATGCTGGATATTATGTATAACAAGTTAACTATCATGTACAAATAAATTAGGTTTATTTTGTTCAGTACTTAAGACAAGACTAGCTCTGATTACCTTTAATGGTTTTATCCATTAGTCTAATTTGTGGGTTTGCACAATAAATAAATAAATCATACTGTAAATAACCGTGTGGACTGCATATTGTTAAATATGAATCTTTGTGCAGTCTTTATTTCTTCTGTTCAGTGCTTAAAATAATAGCAGAATATGAATGAATAAGCACCAAAAATGGACTCAAACTGAGGAAGGCATGCCAAAAATCCTGTTTCTTTTTTCTGAAGTTTTGGCATCGGAGCTTGCTCATAATTATCTATCAACTATTTGGACTCTGCTGAGGTTATGATAAATTGTACTGTATGAGTGAGTGAGTGAGTGTGAGTGAGTGAATGAGTGAGTGAGTAAGTGAATGAATCATGTGGGTAGAAGAGTTGTCCTCTCCTGTGCTCTCTTCTCTGTTTTTTTTCCTCTCCTTTATTATTAAACTTTAGCTCCTTGAGCCTCAGGATTTTTCCTTTTGCTTATGTCACTCTTTATGCAAAGTCCCGTAGTAAGTACATCAATAAGTGATGAAACAAATAATCAGTAAAAACCTGATGCAGCAGGCCAACCAGGAAATTCCATTATCAATGAATCAAAAAATTCCAAAATAATGGCCTCAGGGAAAAGACATAGCATCTGCTCATAACAAACGATACATTCACTAAGTAAAGTAAAAAACCAGTTGTCATTGCTGAATGATGGTCCTTCCTTACCATATATTTACAGAAAATTGCACTGTTGTTTGTTAAACATATTATCAATGTGGATCTGGGATTATAGGCATTAAATGAGAAAATGGATGTTGCGAGTCATATAATCTGAAAATCTGTTTATGGTTGTCTCATAAAGAAAATGATCAGAAATAAAAACTTGCCAGCTTTGTTATTTCTTTACATAGACTTAAAAGTATTTATCATTCTTTAGTCTAAACTTTTGATTTAATCTCTGCACTGGCTGTAGCAATTTGTGTTTTATTATTACCATAAACTGTTTTGTGAAGTTTCTTATCTGAAAAACAGCTTAAAAATGTGTAATAGGTCTGAAACTAGTTCATTAGGGGTGTACTCTCTGGCTAAAAATATACTGACATCAGGGCTGCATCTCTCTCTCTCTCTCTCTCTCTCTCTTTCTCTCCCTCTCTCTCTCCCACCCCTCTCTCTCCCTCTCTCTCTCTCTCTCCCCGTGTCTCTGTCTCTGTCTCTCTGTCTCTGTCTCTGTCTCTGTCTGTCCTCTGACATTGCTAAAATGCCAAATCAGTGGAGTGCCAGATATAAACATGAAATATAAGGGATATCACAAGATTTTTGCTAGCTGGGCACTTCAGATGTATAATGGTCAACCATATCACTGCCATTAGATTACTTGTCCTACTAAAGTCATATACCATAAGTGGAAGAGCTGAAATGAAAGTTGTGAATAACATAAGGGAGGAGCAAATATGCCCCACTTTTTACCCCATAACATTATGTTCATACCCAAGTTGAAGGTGCAGTTTTATTATCAGATGGAAATGGATATTTCCCTGCCATGTTTTTCACAAGATATGGCAGGGGATGGGGAATCAACATAGCCATCCTCAAGCCAGTGACTAATTTTCCCATGTCACGATGACAATTTAGGATGCATGTAAGGCTATTCTGTTCCTAGTCACTGCCCGTTACAAAACCCTACCTAAGGAAGTCACATATTCCCGTAGAGAAGTAAATTGGTTGTTGGCAAAGGTCAGGCATTCCATTCCAATCATTGTCCTTGCTGATTAAACACTCGTGAGCACTTTTGCTCAGCAGGTTCACAGCTTGAACAGCGTGAAGAACAAATAGTTGTGTCCTGACTTGAAGGTTCTGGATTGTCTTCAAGTGCAGCCCCATGAAAAGAGTGGTGTGGTATTCAAGCTGGAGCTTAAAAGTATTTATCAGCAAGAAGGCAAGCTCCTGGTGTAGAGAGAAAACAGACAAGCTTTCTAGTGAAATGAGATGGCAAAAGACACTTTCCACCAGAGGGTAGGATGGACATAGAATTAGGGCAAGACTTTTAAATCATATGGAAGCTAATCATAGCTTCCATATGTCTAGGACAGGGGTAGGCAACCTTGGTTCTTTTATGACTCGTGGACTTCAGCTTCCAGAATTCCTGAGCCAGCATGGCTCAGCTTGGAAACCTCTCCCTTTCCCCTCAGCATGGCTGGCTCAGGTATTCTGGGAGTTGAAGTCCACGAGTCATAAAAGAGCCAAGTTGCCTACCATTGGTCTAGGATAAAGACAGCTGATCCTAAGTTCTGAGTTAAAATTACAGACCATCTCAGTCAAGAATTTCATATAGCATTGAACAGTACTATAGGACTGATAGTATTAACTATTTACTAGATAGCTATTAACACTATAGTATTGTAGAATATTAGCACAATAGAAAAATAATATTGATGATGACCTTTTGACACCTGTGGAAGCTTAGAGCAGAATTTCCAGAAATGAGAAACTTTTTTTTCAATCCTCTTCCTTAAGCTCATTTAAAAAAAAAAGGAAGAAACCCACAGGAGGGTTTTCCCTGAAACACCTGCCAAATGCAAAAACGTAATTTAAATAACTTGCCATTGTGCTGAAAGTTAACTTAAGCCCAGTGCTAGCAAAGAAGGGACAATTCCATTGTCTTATTTCGAGAAAAAGTTAATCCACTAGAGTTGGTCAATGGGCTGTGCCAAAAATGTCCTTCTGCAATGCACCACTTTTTATTATGAATCTGTATTATCAGCTCCCTGCCTCATGTTGTTCTCTCCTTCTCTCCCCCCCCCCTCCTTCTCTCCTCTCTCTCCCCCCCCCCATTGGCTTATCTAGCTGGATTCTGGCATTTAAAATGCCTTTTTCTGCCAGTTGGCCCAGTCCATAAAAGGAGGCAATGTTGAGAGGGCTCATCACCTCTTAACCCTCAGCTTTCTTGATGCCTCTTCCCCACATATATACACAAACTCAGCATCTTTGATTTTCATGCAAGCCAAAAGAGAAAATTTCCAGCAGAAGACAAAATAAGTGGGGAGCAGTGAGGGGATAGGATAGGATAGGATAGGATAGAATAGAATAGAATAGAATAGAATAGAATAGAATAGAATAGAGCTGGAAGGGACCTTGGAGGTCTTCTAGTCCAGCTCCCCCCCCCCGCTCAAGCAGGAGAGCCTATACCATCTCAGGCAAATGCTGTCCAGTCTTTTAAAAATCTCAATTGATGGAGTGCCCATGATTTCTGAAGGTAAGCTGTTCCATTGGTTAATTGTCCTCGCTGTCAGGAACATTCTCCTTAGTTCCAAGTTGCTTCTCTCTTTGATCAGTTTCCAACCATCTCAACCAGTAAGCAAAGAAAAGTTTATCCCCCCCCCGTCCCCCAATTCTCCTTTGTAGATCACCCTCTCCAAAGATGCTTATTATTGTTGTTGGAGTTTAATACATCCACTTTGAGTGTCATCTGTATCTTGTTCTAAGAATAAATCAAAACCAACCTGCTATGACTTTTCCATGTTTTTTTTTTAAATCATTGCACTGACTGTCAACAGTTCATCATCGTGGCATGTGAAAAAGCACTGATTTTGTTTAAAACCCAGTAATTAAATCTCAGGAGATACAAGGCACAAGGTAAACCACAAAAGGAGCGGCTGGATAAACAATGCGATACAGGAATCGTGGCGGGAGGGGGGAAATAAAGAGACATTCTGTTCTTGAATGAGCTACATACCATAATTGCATGGAAGCGAGGAAAGGTTCGCTCTGGAAATGAGAGAGGGTGGCTACTGGCTGTTCACTACTTCAGCATCATAGCACACAATTCCTAAAGGGAAAACATTCCCTTCACGAGAGGGAACGACGGGCTCATTCCATCAGGAATGAGCTTACAGAGTTGGCCCTGGAGTGCTTCTAAAGTCTGGATCGAAGGCAGAAATCCCTATCTGATCGATCTACCTGTCTGTTCAGCTGCATAGATTTTGAAACAATGGTACTTTTTAATAGTCCACGGGGAAAATCATTGGCATCCTCCTCTCTTCCTTCTCACATGCATCTCACTTGTCCTTGATCACCTCCAAAGAGCTTTCTCTCCCCCTGCGCTCTCTGTACCTGGCAGCACTACAATAAATGGAAACCAACCTCATGCCTTTTCCTTGTGATGATGCTCTTGCCTCGGTGGCTTCTCCAGAGGAGGGCATCTGCGGGGGGAGGGGGGGTAATGTCTCTCCTCCAGAAGAGAGAGGTTTCCTCTTCCTTCTCCTCCTTCTTCACTCTGATCAGAGAAGGCTGCCCTTGGCTTGCTGGCAGCTGCCTTTTCCTGATGGTTGGGATTAAACTGGTTCCTTTCCAGATCAATCTAGCAACTTGTCCTGCTGTCGCTCTCCCTGGCTCTCCCCGCCCATGCAAGGGGCTGGGATGAAAGAGAAGTTTCTTGAGCTGCAGTAGCAAGCAGCAGCAGTGTCTCAATTCACTGATTAGTAGATGAGGATAGGAACAATTGGTAAAACCAAGAGAAGACACCAAGGAGATAATTGCTCTACAAACACGTTCTGCTTAACTCTGAGGATTTATGAGTTATTAAACCACAGTGCCTAATTTTAAACGGTACTTGGGTTCTAACTGCGCATCAAACCTGCTTCATCTTTAGCTCCAGCTAATGGTCACTGATTTTCTGTGAGTTTAGCGGCCGGCAACTGGCTGCGAAATAAATCTGTGAAATAATCCTTCTTTCTTAATCAGGAGAGAAAAAGAGGCCAGGAAAATAGAGGGTGCTGACTGAATGAATGGGAGGTGCAAGCATTGATGGGATGCATTGGGTGGCTGAAAACAACTTAATCATGTTGTGTTTATGTGGCTAATGCCACGTTTGGGGTTTTTTTTTTTGGCTTTGACCCATACATTGTTTATTTATTTATTTGATTGGGTTTTAGGGCCACCCAACGCCAAACTGACTCATAAAAGGGTAATTTATTACTCCAGCAGCTCAAGATGCTTCCTGCCTCTACCCTGGAGTTATCTTTTTAAAAAAATCTCATGGAAGTTGCCTTTTATATACTTCTTCATTACAACCATACCAAAAATATGAGAGCGAAAAGGAACAAACAGCAGACAGAATGAGATATCCTGCCCATGCATAACATTCCAAACACTTGACTTTCAGTGACACTCAATGTTTTTTTTTCTCCATTTGATGCATAATTGAGTGAAATTCTGTATTTCTTAACCAGATTAATCCTAATCTGTCTCTCTCTCTCTCCATGGATCCTAAAAGCTCACAATTCAAGAATACCAATGTTAACTTGGATTGCCAATAAAGTTCTGTCTGTGACAAAACACAAAAAATTGCTTTCTCCTTTGAGCTGAAGAGAAAAGGAGGAGGTGGGGGAGAGAGGAGAGGATATAAAAGGAGATTTTGCAGGAAAGGGCCAGTGAGGGGCTGCCCCCGCCCCGCCTGGGTGTGCGAAGAGGAGGCGGTGAGCGCCCGGCATCTCTGCTGGCCGTGTCTGCTGCCCACTGAGGAAGAAAAAAAAAAAGTAAGAGAAGTGCTTCCCTTTCCCCCAGGATGCCAGCGCTCTTGCGCTCGCCACCTTCTCTGTGCAACCCCAGAGAGCCAGGCAGAGCCTTCTGAGCGCTTCGCAAGTTCATTTTTTTAAGCTGCTCAAGGCTCCGGGCAGAGGCTTCCATTTTGCCTCTCCCAGACCTGTGCACATGTTTGTGTGTGTGTGCACATGCACGTGAGGGGGGCTCACTCCTTGCAGCCCCACGCTGTGACATTGGGGATGAAAAGAACGGGAGAGACGAGAGAAGCTGTGATGGGAGCTTCTTGCAGCCTTCCACAGGGCTGGGGGTGGGAGTTGAGGGGGGCAGGGCATGATATGATCGGCGGCACGTTGAGAAAAAGAAACAAGTACTCCAAAAAACCCCACCTTTCATTAGTTTGCAGCCTGCCATCGCAGAAGTTCTCTGTTGAAGGTGCGGGGCTGCAAGGGGTGAGACCCCCGCCCGTGTGTGTGCACATACACACAGACACAAACGTGTGTGGGTCTGGGAGAGGTAAGCACAGAGACAAAGATGGGGAAGGGGTCAAAATGTGAAGCCTCTGCCCACCGCTGCCTGCCTGCTGCCACCTCTGCCCAGAGCCTCTGGCAGCTTAAAAAAAAAAGCAGGGA